TTGATAAACTACCACAAATAAAGAAAAGCAGAAGTACTTAATGTTCTTACTTTGATTTAGCTGGATGTCAGAGTTTGCTGAATTAGCTTTGGCCATGCAGTTCTTGATGTCAACACAACTTAAAAAAAAAGCTAACAGAATGAGTTAGGCCAGCAGCTGAGACCACATGGTGTTTATGTGGTTTGATGGTTCAGCAACCAATGGTGAAAACATTAGATTGGATAGACCATTAGTGTTGTTGTTGTATTTWTTTTCCTACAGAACATTTAATGGGCCTCCCAAAAATTTCTCCGTCTCTTGAAACAAAGTTTAAGATGGTCTTCCTTTAATCTTGGATTATTTTCATTTCCACTTTGTTTGGATATGTCCACACATTCTACCATATATAGCTGCACCTTCATACTGTTTACTTTGATTTTCGTTTGTAGTGCTGCAGTGAAACCTTTTTTCACAGCAACCTCAAAAGATCAAAGTAGACTAAATTAGATATGTAAACAATGTTTTATGGAATATAATTAAAAAGTTGCAGTTAAGGTTATCTTACCTGAATAAGTTCAATCATAATGAGGGAATAAATTCAGATAATGACGAAATTGGTTTATTTGTTATTTCTTTTGGGACATTGTTATTGCAGGAGAGGTGAAGAAACTATTAGTTTAAGGGAAACTGCACACAACCTTTTTTTCCCTAACTTTACTATGGAATATGTGAGTGCTTTGAGCTAATTAACAAGTACAAAGCATCTCTGTGAATTAGATTATCGATTTGTGTTATTTATTTATTTTCCTGTGGAAATGTTGGCCCTTTTTAGGGGTGCTCAAGCACATTTAAGCTTAAACCCATGCAGCACCCCTGAAAAGAAAGAAACTATCATTACTATTTTGTAAGAAAAGTTTTGTTCTCAAACCTTAGTTTCACCAAAACATTGAATACATTTGGAAYTAGAAACACTGACAGAGTGCACACCTCTGCCAGTCACATAGTAACTGTGTTGTTAACATTACCAATAAAAAATATGAGTTTTCTCTGAACTTGAATGCATTATAGAACTCATCACCTGCTCTGCTTGGTATGAGCATTTACTGAAGGACGGAAGATGGGGTTGCGTAAAGTAACCAATTCAGCAATGCACAGAAATCAGATTTTTTGGAACTCAATATCAATTMAGAAAATCCTCTGAACTGATTCAATCCCCGGGCCAGTTTGCGCTTCTGTCAGGGTGATACAGAACAAACTTAATTGTTCCTGGCCGGTCTGTGTTAATTTGTGCAGCCATCCTTCCTTAATACTTCATGTTCAACTTTTGACTGTAGGTACAACTTGTTAACATTACAGTAGACTTACTAGCCCACTAGGGGAGTTTTAATACATATTTTAAGCTACTGATAAACATGGTGGATGATAATATTGCCTTAAGTGGGCTAGGAGGGATCACTATTATAATTTTCTTCAGTGATTACCCCCCCCCAAAAAAAAAAAAAAAAAAAAGTTAGACTACACTCCATTTCTTATAGACTGTGGCTAGAAAGGACCAAGTCGGTTAGCATACTTTATGCCCACACACACACACACACACACACA